ATAAGCCCTAGGCTGATCTCCAATTCCTGGCCTCAAGTGATCCCTCCTATCTCAGGATCCCTGTTATGATTATAGGCATGTGCCACCACACTGGGACTTAGTCCCTTAATTTGAAAAGAGTTCAGAGCTGGTAGAATTTTTTGCCTTTAGCCAGCGATAAGTAACTGACATGTCCTAAGAATGCTCACAGAACCTGACCTCCTGGGGAAATTTCAAGTCTCCAAAGCAAGGTCATAATATGTTGTAGGACAGTCAGTTGACTTTATCAGCCTACTACAATCCATGATGATTAATTAGGCAAAAGGTTGTGAATTCTCCCTGGCTTTATCCAGTCTGAGCATCTACTCCTCAAGGTTCCCCGCCCACAATCCCAGTTAAAGTGATGTACTCCTCTCCTTGCACAAAATGTTCATATTCTTTACTAATTCTTCAATATTTGCTCAACTGTCTTTTTCAATCTCTCTATATCAATGTTCTGGGTCATTGTCTATAGATTCCCAAGTCACAGAAAACCTGTTTGCTTTGCATTACAATACAGCATAGGACCCAACAGAGATAGGTAATAAGTGCCTTCTAATGCAGATGAGATTGATATGGCCTCATTCCATTGAAATCAATCAAGCAATCAGCAAATGTTGAAAGTCTTCTGAAAGTGTTGAGGACATAAACCCAGCTTGCTTTTTGCTTAAGGATGGTGAGATCAACCTACAAAGATTTTCCTGTGATTGTCACCAGCTCTGGTGAAGTGTATCCTTTCCTGTGCTATTTTTAGGGTCTGTTTGAGTTGGTAATGTGCACAGGCTGCCTGCATTTGTGTCAAGGTGTCTGCCAGGGCAGGATTAGGGAAAAGCAAAAAGCAGGATATATTTTCCTCTTGGGGCTTAGAAAATAATGTACTTCCTTTGAGGTAGATGAGATGAATTAAAGTCAATTCTCATGTATTTCTTTTTAATGCATAGGTGGAAATATAAACCCTTTCATTATACATGCATAGAGTGATATATAGAATCTGGGCCAGGGACAGTGGCTCACACCTATAATCCTCGCACTCTGGGAGGCCGAGGTAGGAGGATTGCTTGAGCTCAGGAGTTCAAGACCAGCCTGAGCAAGAGTGAGAACCCCCCCCATCTCTACTAAAAAAATAGAAAAAAATTATCTGGGCGTGGTGCTGCATGCTAGCTTGGGCAACACACCAAGACTCTGTCTCAAAAAACAAAACCAAAAATGAAACAAAACAAAAAATCCTGGCATCTCTTCATGTACATTCTGAACTCTTTAAATCAGCGGTTCTCAACCTGTGGGTCGTGACCCCTTTGGGGGTCGAACGACCCTTTCACAGGAGTCGCCTAAATATATCCTGCATATCAGATCTTTACATCATGATTCATAACAGTAGCAAAATTATAATTATGAAGTAGCAATGAAAATAATTTTATGGTTGGTGGTCACCACAACATGGGTCACAGCATTAGGAAGGTTGAGAACCACTGCTTTAAATGAACAAGGGCTTTATACATCACTGGATCCCTTTTAACTTCAGGATACTGTATGGTAGGTGCATAATAAGTAATCAAAATAAGTAAGCATTGTATGTTCATGTCACTTTCCATGGTTGCAAATAAAGTATTAAGTTCAGGAATTATAGATTAAGGAGGAGTGTATTAGATCCACCTAAACTAAAACCCAAAGAAGGTGAAAGGGAGATTGGGGGGACCTCAGGCTTTTTACCAAGTTTTAAGCTGAAGTGACATTTGCTTTGGAGGTGTTTGTTCTTTCTGAGCGGTATTGACTCCTATCGGATAAAAGCAAATCCAGGCTACCTTTATACCCTGTATAACTGGATAGACATCCTTAGATACAATCATTTCTTAGATTTGTTAACTGCTCGTTTTGGCAAGAGACTGGATTAAAACTAAATTTCAATAAGAACTTGGTAAGGTGAACTTTATAAGGTAGAGATAAACACCTTGGAGCTTCCATGTAAC